GCTACAATTGAACATTCCCAACATCGAAATGTATTAATATAGGGAAAAAAAAAGATTTTGAATCCAAAAAATAGTGTCGTTGGCAATACATCCTATTTATCTATGGGTATATTTTGTATAGGGTCGTAACTTTGAACAATAAAAATAAGGCGTACCTCTGAAATTTTTTGTAAGATGTAATTTTGGTGTAAATTTTTTTAAAAATGGCTTGAAAATATATTTTTATCTCTATTCATAAAATTTTAGACTTGAAAAATGATCTATATCAAATGGATATATAAAAACATGAAAATCTAGAAAGTAGAAGGTCCAGATAATGTGTTGCCAAATGCACTATTTTTTGGATTCAAAATCTTTTTTTTTACTCGGTTTTTATGCGACTAGCCCGCATATTGTAGAAATACGGGTTTGACAATAAATATATTTTTAAAATATAATTTAGTCTTGATTTTAAAAGAATATATAACCTTGAACATAAAGATCATAAATATAAAAATAAAAATAAAAATTATAATAAAAAATATTTAAACCATTAGCCACACTTATTTATAGATGAACCACCGACTTGCTTCCAACCATCTTTAAGACAGGTGCTTTATTCCTCTTGACAGGATATCGTAGAAATGCGGTCAAAGCCCGGATGCAACAATTTTCCTTAAGTAGAAAGTAGGAGATAGGGTTACACACACACAATGAGATAGGCGGATAATGGGCGAGCTTTCGATGTGTATAGGAAGGGAGATACGAGGGAGATACGATGAATGATTGTGGGCTTCTAAAGTGGGTTTGTAACGAGGAGAAAGAAATGATTATTTGGTATTTAATGCATGGCGAATGGGGCGGGAATATCATTTCTCATTAAATAAGCTGTGTACCTGCTTTATACACATCACAAGCTATCTTACGTACTCAATCACTCCTCTTTATCCACCTGTCTCTCCCTCCTCCCTCTTTCTCTACCCTCTAATTTTATGTTTGAAAAAAATTTATGAGGTCTCAACTTTACACTGTACACGTAAGGTACACCTTAATTACCCACTAGTAAGCTTGTTCCAATGTTGAAAAACCCTCAAAACGAATCATCTCAATCTTAAGATTTATTAACATTAAAAAACAAAAAAAAAAAAGATATTTTTAGTCCAAAAAATAATTCATCTTCTAATACATTATTGAACCGTCTATTTTCAAGATTTTTAAATATCTATAAATTTATTTGATCTTACTATTTCTATAATTTTAAATTTTATAATTAAAAATAACATTAGATTTCCATATCATCGCAAAGCTTTGTAGCACCGAAACTATATTTTTATCATAGTTTTTGAGACGTAACTTATTTCAATAGTATAAAGTTGGCACCTCATACAAACCACACCCTTTAATGTTTGGTCACTTACGATAGTCTAGCATTTCTCCCAGCCTTCTTTTCCCTAAAGGGTGCCCTTTGCATGCGGATGCATAGGCAAGCCCCTTCAAAATTTATCATGATATATAATTTTGGTGTAAAGTATTTTTAGGATTATCTTAAACTTCATTTTTATATTTAATTATGAAATTTTAAATTTTAAAAACGATTAAAATCAAGTAGATTTATAAACATATGAAAATCTTAAAAATAGATGGTGTAGATAATATGTTGTAAAAGGCATTATTTTTTTGATTTAAAATTTTTTGATTTTTCATAGCCATACATCTCGATATCGATATGATCAATCAAAAGGTTTTTCAACATTAAAATTACCTTTTCCTATAGAATTTTAAAAGCCATCCATAGTTCTACAGGTAACATCCTTATATAAACTTTTTTATTCCCTAAAACACCACACATTACTTTTTTCTTCCCTAAAATAGCTCACATGTTTTATATTGAAGCAATATTTTTTTTCTCCATCTCACTCATGGGTTTTGTTTCTGTGCTTTCTGTTATCTCTCTCAAATGTTTAATCCAGTGATCTGGATTAGGAATTAGTGATTTTAACTGAGAAGCGGTAAGAACTGGTTTCGGGAATATATTGGTCCCCATCTTGTACCTTTTCTGAAAAAAGATCATCTAATGTTTTTTAGGTCCTGTAAATTTCCCATCATGTGAACCTCTAGTTTATATTTTGTTCATCTACTCAAACCATGGAGATCAATTACGCTCATGATGCAATAATCGGACGCAAATAATCAGTGTTTTAAACCCAACAAATCTCTATCGGGATCGCCGATCTGGGTGCAGAATCGATCAGAGACCAAGCTGGTTTCAAGATAGTATGTTCCCGGACTCTATTTCACTTAAAATCTCCTCCTCCTATTTTTATCCCTAAGGTTCACCCCTCCTATATTTTAAATTTTTGTTTTGCTTTATATATTTTTAAAGATGTTTTTAGTTCTTTATTTAGACGACCCAAGAGCAATTCAAATCGCCAATCCAGTCAATTTGAATAAAGATCAGGGTGGATGATCCGCCCACCATTTTTTGAAAATAAAAAATTTATATAAGGTTGCATCTTTAAAATATAGAATTAAAGATGTACTTCATAAATCTATCGGAAAAGGTTGTTTTAATGTTGAAAAACACTTTAATTAATCATTTCGACATCAAGATGCATGAATATTAAAAAAAAAAAGATTTTGAGTCCCAACACTATATCTAGATTTTCATATGTTTATAGATGTACATGATTCTAACCATTTTTTATTTTATAATTAGATATAAAAATAGATTTTGAGAGATAATCTTAAGAATTTTTTAGACAAAAATTGCATATTGTGATAAAATTTTGAGGTAAGCCTTAATTAAATTGTGTCCGGCTGCAACCTTATAGAAACTATACCATTTTTAAATGAAAAATTGTTTAATTCGGGCTGGACCACATTTCTCCATATGGGGTCCAACAAGGGCAAACCATCCATTGCAAGTAGGTGTTCCATCTAAAAACAATGAAAACTACAGGTTCTAATTTTTAAAATTTATTTATTTTTTCGTATTCATGATCTCCATGTTAGAGATTATATATCCTTAAAATTTAAGTCCTAAAATCCATTTTAAAAAATTTATTAAGAGACTAACATTTCTACAGATGGGGAAGTGGCCACATAGATACCGGATCCTTTCTTATAAAAAATTTATTAGAGTAGATGACCGACTCAATAATCGGACACCGATTCAATTTGCCCAATCTAGAAAGCTCTCCATCTACCTTCCGGAGCACGCGGATCAATCTCTCACTCTGTAGTCCGTACAACTACACCCCAATCTTCTCTTTCCTACCACCTCTTACAGTCACACACGCACACGCACGCGTACGTCACCTTCCCCTCTCTCTCTCTCAAGGCAAGGCGTGTTTGATAAGACGAACTTTTTACAGTTCATGATTTAATGGAGTTATCAAACAGGCTCTACAAGTAGGCTTACGGCTGGGAAGATTATGGCGCGTGAGACTGAACCGGGTGGGGTGCTAGCGTTGCGTAAATGACCGAAAGAGCATCATCGCTTTTACGCATTTTCCCGAGAGAAAAAACCCACCCCTTATTACTTTTCTCTCTCTTCTATCTTATAAAACACGCGCCACTTCTTTCTCTTCTCTCTTGTAAAACAGGCTCCTCACACAGAGCCCAGCAGCCTCTGGTTCTTATATCTTTCTCTCTCCGAGTGTTTGTGGATTCTGAGGTGAAGCAGTAGCAAACAGTTTGTTGTTGTTTGAGGAAATCTTGTGTGGTACTTTACTTAGGGTTTGCATTTATTAAGTGCATGTCTGTCTGTGTAACTGTTGTGCGGCGGTGCGTCAATTTCTACTTCAACTAAAAGTACTGACTTGAGACAGAGATAGGAGTGTTTCATACTGACGTGAGATAGAGATAGGAGTGTTTCATACTGACTTGAGATAGAGATAGAGAGATACTAGTGTTTCATGGTGATTTTTGTGCTGATAAATTAGTATTATTGGGGTTTAGAAGGGAGGATGCTGTTTGCATCAGACAGGTTGCTCTCTTTCTCTCTCTAAGTTTTTGCTCTTTCTGAATTTGCAGGTGAAGTCTTTAGTCTCTCTCCCTCTCTTTCAAGAGTAAACTAGCGAATTGCGTTGCCTCTCTCTTTCTCCTACCAAACCCTAGTTGCATAGCATGGCTTTCTGTTATGGAAACCCTAAATAATTCTTTCTTTCTCTGTCTCTCTGGACCCCTAAACCCAAATCGCATAGCATAGCTTTCTATTACCCCTGCTCTCTCTTTCAAAACTCCCATAAAACTCCTCTCTCTCCCCTCTGAGTCCTCTCTGAACTCTCTATCTCTCCTCTCTCTCTCTCTCTCTCTCTCTCTCTCTCTCTCTCTCTCTACTACTACCTACCGTACGTACGTACGTACTCCTCCTCCTACCTCCTACCTACCGTACCCTTACCCTACCCTACCCTACCCTACCCTACCTA